GGTCCTGCGTTCCCATCTGTGAAATGGGACAGTCCCGCCCACCGGCCAGGGGGCGGTCAGTAAGTTTCAGTGAACAAGGCCGTGGATGGCAGACGCCCTGTTCCTGTGACTGCGAGGCAGTGACGAGGAAGGCGCGAGCGGGGCCTCAGTTTCCATATCTGCGTAGTGGGGGGCCTGGTCAGGCCTCGAAGGGGGTGATGAGGCAGGGTCCACAGGAGGAGAGCTGGGGCCTGTGTGGGGCAGACGTGACTGGAGCCTGGCGACGTGGGGTTCTTTGGGGTAAGGAGGGTTGATAAAAGGAAAAACTCCTATGGATGCGGATGTGCCACTGGCAAGAATTCCTTTTTTTTTTTTTTTTTAACAAGGTCTCACTCTGTCACCCAGGTTAGAGCACAGTAGTGCAATCACAGCCCACGGTCCCTGCAGCCTTGACTTCCCCAAGCTCAGCGATCTTGTCACTTCAGCCTCCTAAAGTGCTGGGATTACAGGTGTGAGCCGCTGCACCTGTCCAGAACCACCTCACCTCACCTTTCCTTTCCTTTTCTCTCTTTCTTTCCTTCTTTTCTCTCTCCTTCCTTCCTTCCTTCGACAAGGTCTCACTGTGTTGCCTAGGCTGCTCTCAAACTCCCATGCTCAGGCAGTCCTCCCACCGCGGCCTCTTAAGGTGCTAGGATTACAGGTATGAGCCACTGTACCCAGCCAGAATGTCACCTCCCTTCTCCTTTCTCCACTCCTCTTTCCCTCCCCTGTCCTCCCTCCCTTCTCCTCCCTCCCTCCGTCTCTCTCTTTCTTTCCCTCTGTTTTTCTTTCTTTCTTTTTCTTTCCTCTCTTCCTTCTTTCTTTCCTTCTTTTTCTTTCTCTCTTTCCTTCCTTCTTTCTTCTTTCCTTTCTCCCTTCCCTCCCTCCTTCCTTCCTTCCTCCCTCCCTTCCTTCCTTCCTTTCCTTCTTTTCTCTCTCTCCCTCCTTCCCTCCTTTCTCTCTTTCCCTCCTTCCCTCCTTTCTCTCTCTCTCTCTTTCTCTTTCTGTCTCTCTTAGAGACAGAGTCTCACTATGTTGCCGAGGCTGGTCTCAAACTCCTGGGCTCAAGTGATCCTCCCACCTCAGCCTCCTCAAGTGCGTGAGCCGCTGTGCCCGGCAGTGTTTGCTACACTGGGGAACAGTGACAGAACATTTTTCAGCTAAATGTGAAGGGGAACGCTGTTGTCCTTCTCAGGAAAAGGAGCTGAACTCAACAACGGTGTGAATGATCTTGCCCGTGTCCTTAGCAAGAGCAATTCAAGCGAAAACTCTGATTGGACTTAGTTACTAGATGAAATCAACAAATTAAACAACCGAGAACCATACTTGATCACTTACGATGCACCAGACGCCACACGAGACATTTTTCCTCCGTCGTGTGTCATTTGACCCTCACAGTTATCTTACAAAGACACCTTCATTTTACAGATGCAGAGCTGAAGCCCAGAGAGGCTGGCTGACTTGGCCTAGGATGCACAGCGCATGTGGAGCCAGATGTCATTCCCAGATGTGGCCGAGCAGGGCCTGGATGTGCCAGTGCTGTACCGCACTACCCCCTGGTCTCTGCCTGGGTGAGGCTGGGAGTCAGGCTGGCTGTTTGGCTCTTGGGGAGCAGAGAGGTCTCCCAGAAGCTGCAGGGAGCACTCCTCCGGCTCACCCCTGTTCCGGATTCTACCTGCAGAGGGCAGTATTGAGCACACACTGATGCTTCCCTACCTCAGTTCCTCCAAGCCCTGGAGTGGAGGACTTGGGGTCAGAGAAGCATTTTGCCTTGAAACCAACTGGGCCCACGGAGGGCGTGCCTTAGCCCTGACACTGCGCCGGTGCAGACATCTTGGGGGTAGGGTCAGTGTACAGCAGTTCTATCCTTTCTCACAGACCCAGCCGCACCACTGACAGAGCTGCCTGTCTTTTCTTTTTTTGGGGGCGGGGGGTGGAGGGGGAACAGAATCTCACTCTGTCGCCCAGGCTGGAGTGCAGTGGTGAGATCTTGGCTCCCTCCAACCTCCGCCTCCTGGGTTCAAGCGATTCTTCTGCCTCAGCCTCCTGAGTAGCTGGGGTTACAGGTACCCACCATCAGGCCCGGCTAATTTTTGTATTTTTAGTAGAGATGGGTTTTGCCATGTTGGCCAGGCTGGTCTCGAACTCCTGACCTCAGGTGATCCGCACACCTCGGCCTCCCAAAGTGTTGGAATTACAGGCGTGAGCCACGCACCTGGCCAGGGCTGCATGTCTTTAAACACGTGACTTAACCCCTGTAACATGAGGCCAATAGTACCCACCTTGGAGCCTTAGCACAAGGCTTAGAGAACTTAAATGCAACAAACCTAGCACCTAGAAGATGCTTGACAAGCAAGGGCCAATGGCCCAATGAGAAGCCACAGGAGGAGGGAAGTGGAGACTCACAGAAGGGAACTGACTTGCCCAAGGTCACACAGGTGATTAGAGAAAGAGGCAGGGGATGGGCCCAGTGGCTCACGTCTATAATCCCAGCACTTTGGGAGGCCAAAGCAGGCAGATCATAAGGTCAGGAGTTCGAGAACAGCCTGGCCAACATGGTGAAACCCCATCTCTACCAAAAATACAAAAATTAGCTGGGCGTGGTGGTGCCTGCCTGTAATCCCCGCCACTCGGGAGGCTGAGGCAGAATTGCTTGAACCCTAAGAGGTAGAAGCTACAGTGAACCAAGATTGTGCCGCTGCACTTCAGCCTGGGCTACAGAGTGAAACTCCATCTCAAAAAAAAAAAAAAAACAATCAGCCAGGTGTGGTGGGTGCCTGTAATCCCAGCTACTCGAGAGGCCGAGGCAAGAGAATCACTTGAACCTGGGAGGTGGAGGTTGCAGTGAGCTGAGATCGCACCACTGCACTCCAGCCTGGGCGACACGTCATCTCAAAAAACAAAAACAAAAAGAGAAAGAGGCAGGGTGGGAGAGGACCTGGGTCCCCGGGGGCCACACAGGAGGGTGCCTTGAGATGTCCCCTTACCACAGGAGGGCGTCGTGGGATGAAGGGAGCATTGGTGACCTCATTCCCAACCCTGACACTGCCCAATACCCTCTGTGGGCGTGAGAGCCCCTCTGTGCCCCGCCTTGTGCTGGGCACTGCTGACGTGGCCTGCCCAGGAGGAGCTCTCAGTCTGATGGGCTTGTGGGTTTCTCAGAGGAGACCTGGTCAGCCAAAGTTAAACCTCAGCAAGTGCCTGATGTGTGTCCGAGGGAACCCAGTGTAATCGCCTTCCTTTGATGGCTTACAGGAAGAATTCACTGAGACCACGGTATTGCAGCAGAGAAACAGTTTTATTTTACACTTTTTAATTTAAAAAATTTTTGAAACAGAGTCTTACTCTGTCGCCTAGGCTGGAGTGCAGTGGTGTGATCTCAGCTCATTGCAACCTCCACTTCCCAGGTTCAAGCGATTCTTATGCCTCAGCCTTCTGAGTACTTGGAATGACAGGAGGTTGCCACCACTCCTGGCTAATTTTTGTATTTTTAGTAGAGACAGAGTTTCACCGTGTTGGCCAGGCTGGTCTTGAATGCCTGGCCTCAAGTGATCCACCCACCTCTACCTTCCAAAGTGTTGGGATTACAGGCATGAGTCACCACACCTGTCCTAATTTTTGAGACAAGTCTCACTCTGTCACCCAGGCTGGAGTGCAGTGGCTCAATCTCGGCTCACTGCAACCTCCACCTCCTCCTGGGTTCCAGCAATTCTCATGCGTCAGCCTCCTGGGTAGCTGAGATTACAGACATGCGCCACCACGCCCGGCTAATTTCTGTATTTTTAGTGACGGGGTTTCGCTGTGTTAGTCAGGCTGTTCTTGAACTCCTGACCTCAAGCGATCCACCCACCTTGGCCTCCCAAAGCGCCGGGATTACAGGCATGAGCCACTGAGCCCGGCCAAGAGAGTTTTATTAACACAGACCTGGCCAAGCAGTAGAACTGGAATTGTTACTCAGATGAATCTCCCCAAGAACTCAGAGGCTAGGGTTTTTATGGATAATTTGGTGGGCAAGGGCCCAGGGAATGGGTACTGCTGACTGGTTGAGGAGGAAACCACAGGGTGTGGCAAACGGTCCTTACGCTCTGAGTCTGTCTCTGAGTCGGGGCCACGGGATGGGCCAAGTCATGAGTCACACAGGTCCAGGTGAGTCAGTCAGTTGCCAGAATTTGAAAGTCTGAAAAACATCTGAGAAGACCAATCTCAGTTTCCACAATAGAGATGCTATCTATAGGAGGAAGAGGGGAACTCGCAAACCTTGTGATCTCTGGCCACGTGACTCCTGAGCAGTCAGAGATTATAAAAACATGCCTGGGTTTTAGCAGAATCCAGGCCCCTCCCATAACCCTAATCTCATGGCCTTTCCTTTTTTTTTTGAGATGGAGTTTCACACTGTCGCCCAGGCTGGAGTGCAATGGTGCCATCTCAGCTCACTGCAACCTCCACCTCCCGGGTTCAAACGATTCTCCTGCCTCAGCCTCCTGAGTAGCTAGGATTACAGGTGTACAACACCACGCTTGGCTAATTTTGTATTTTTAGTAGAGACGGGGTTTTTCCATGTTGGTCAGGCGGGTCTTGAACTCTCGACCTCAGGTGATCCACTTGCCTTGGCCTCCCAAAGTGCTGAGATTACAGGCGTGAGCCACCGCGACTGCCGCCTTTCATTAGTTTTACAAAGGTGGCTTTGGTCTCTGAGTAAAGAGCAGGTTAGGTCTAAGGAGTAACTATTATTATCCTTACTTCAAAGTTGAACTATAAACTAAATTCCTCCCCTCCTTAGCTTGGCCTGTGCCCGGGAATGAGTGAGGACAGCCAGCCCGTGAGGCTGGAAGCAAGATGGAGTCAGCCACGCTAGACTTCGCTCACTGCCATAATCTCAGCAATCACAGTTTTGCAAGAAGGCTGTGGGGAGAGCTTGTAGGTTCTGCCGGGACCTGGGAGATTCTCAGTCTATGTTTGGCTGTTCTTCTAAGCCAGAAGCTCCCTGGGGTTGGGGCCTGCCTGGGGTGAGTCTCTCCCTCCCTGCCATGCCCAGCCTAGCCAAGGCCTAGTTCAGGGCTCAGGGCACCACGTGGGGGAAGGAGTGAGGTCCTTGTGCTGAATTAGGATTTATGGCTTTGGGACCGGATGGGAGGTGTGCGCTCCGATTCAGTAGGAGCACTGCTGTGGTGTGTGTGTGGTTTGGGGTGGGGGGAGACAGGGGTAAAAGCCTATCAGAGGGAGGTCCCATCACACAAGATGGGACCAAGAGTCCAGCTGGCTCTGCCGCGACTTTCGGCACGTCACAGCCTTCCTGCACATCTCAGGGGCGGGAGGGGGACAAAGGCTGTAAGAGGTACCTGGCCCAAGCGTTGGGACTAGAACCCGTGCCAGACGGGAGTGACCAGCCCGGACGCTCAGGGCCTCCGCGCGTTCCAGCTGGGTGACCTTGACCCTCCAACTCCAGCCCCCTGCGCCCCGCAGCTCTCCCAGTGGCGGGGGGCGAAGGGGGGTAGGCGGAGGCGAGCCCAGGCTTTCTAATCCGGCGCTGGGTGGGGGGAACCGAGGGCGCCCCCGCCCCTCCGCGCAGGTCCGGGGCCGAGGGGTGCGGCGCGCTCTCCCCACCGCGGCGCCAGGTCCCCTGGGCGCAGGGGCGCGGGGTGGCGAGCGGGGGGGCGCAGGGGCGCGGGGCGCGGGGCGGGCTAATCCCGTATGTAAATGGCAGCCAATGGAGGGTGGTGTTGCGCGGGGCTGGGATTAGGGCCGGGGCGAATGGCTGGCAATCTTACTGGGATTACAGAACAAAGAGCCTCCCCGCGCTCCCGCTCTCCGCTCCGCTCCCCGCGCCGCCCCGCCCTCCGCCGCAGCCCGCGCCGGGGGTGGGGGCCGCCGAGCGCCAGCCCCCCGGCCGGCCGATCCCCCCCGCGCCCCCTCCCCGCGCCTCCCTCCCCGCCCTCGCCGCGCCGCCGTCCTCGCCTCCCTCTGCCTCTCCTTCCCCCATTCTCCCGGATTAATTAAGGAGGCAGCGGCAGGAGGCTGAGTCCTGGCCGCGGGCCGGGGCCGGGGCGCCGCTGGCAGGAGCGCTTGGGGATCCTCCAAGGTAGGAGAAACTTTTGCGGGGGGCGGGCGCCGAGGCCCTTCTCCCCGTCCCCCCCACCCCCGCCCCCGATCCCCTCCACCTCCTCCGGGGGGGCCCCCGCCCCTCCCCCTCTCAAGGTGTTACAGGAGCTGGGGCCGGCTTTTGGGTGCCCGGGGAGGCACGTGACTGGGATTATAATTCGGGCCGGGGGAGGGGAGGGACGGCCGCCCCCCACCTGCCCGGGAGGGGCCGGGAGCTGGGAGCTGTCACCCCTTCCCTCCTTGCCACCGGCCCTTCTGGAGGTGGGGGGCGTCCCGGGCCGGCGCCCGCAGGCTGCTGCAGTTGGCGAATGAGGTCAGTCGCGCTGCCCGCGGTGGCGGGCGCCGGGGTGGGAGCGGAGGGGGCTGGGAAGGCCGCGATCCCCGCCTTTCCCCCTCTTCGCCTTTCCCCGGGCTGGGCTGGCCCCTGGTCCGCGACCCCTACTCCCAGGCGGGGATCCAGCCCAGCCAGGGTTGCCCCAGCAGGGTGGTTCCTGTTGGGGACCCCCCCAAGGGGAGGGGACTGGCCTGTGTGTTGGTGGCCGCTGAACCCCGGGTGGAGGGGACTCAGAGGGTGGCAGTGCGGGGGAGCACAAAGGGCTCAGAGGAGTAAGTTGGGGGTACCCGGTCTGTGGGTGGTCTCTGAGTTCCTGCAGATGGGTGGAGAGGACAGAGGAGGGGCCGCAGGGTGCTGAACACCCACCCACCCCATCTTAAGTCCCTGGGCATGCCGGGCTTGACACCTCTCCTGGGCTCCCCACCCCTGGCCAGCAGCCAGGGAGTGGGACCCTGCCTGGCCTGGCGTGGGCCCAGGGAAGGGAGACGCTGTACAACCGGGATTTCCACCCTCCTGGCCGTGCTGGAGGGGGCTGGAGCTCTGGCATCTGGCCTGCTGACCCTGCATCCCCGGACCAAGGTCCCGCGATGGGAGTCTCCTGTGTCCCCATCCCAGCTGAAGTGAGGGGTGCTGGGACACAGGGGTGCTGCAGGGCCCGTAGGGGGAGCACTGGGTCTTGGATGGAGACTGTGCTGAGGGCACCCCGGGATGGCCCTGGGCCTGGTGGGTGAGAGTGGAGGGCAGGCCCCCACAGTTTTTGAAGGAGTGGGCATTTGCGAGGGGTTCTCTTAGAGGAGGGGAGGGGTGTCTGGAAGCTACCCTGGCCCGCTGCTGCCATGGTCTGCCTGTGTGTCTGGGTCCCCTGTGGCCGGGACTGTTCGCTCCTTGGCACTGGCCCGGGGCCTTGGGGCTTGGAAGGTGCCCCAAGCAGCTCATTTATTTCAGCAGTGTCATTCCAGAGGGGAAGGGCAGCAGCATCGATTATTTATTTGAAGCAGGAGGAGGTGGCTGGAGGTTGGTGGCTGCTGGCAGGGAGGGGCTAGGTATAAGGTAGTTAGGTGGCCGTCATGAACCGCCCTATTTGGGGCCCAGGAGGGTGTGAGATAGACTCTGACCTCTTCTGAACAGGCACTTGTGGACCGAGGGACAGGCTTGGCCCCAAGGGGACAGGGCATCGGAACCCCCATCCTGCCTCTGGGGTGTGGGAGGCTCAAGTCCACACCTTGTTCCTCCATAGCCTGCTCTGAGGGTGACCTAGAAATTGGCAGTTCTGACTCAGAGGGTCCCACAGGACCCCACGGAGGAAAACGAGGAGGGAAGGGCTGAAACTCCGCAGCCGCTCCAAGCCTGCACTCTTAAAATGTTCGAGAACTTGGGGCTGACGGTTTTGGGTCTTGGAGACAGCTTTGTAGGGGGCACGCTCAACCTACTTAGAAGGACCGTTCTCTCGATGCTGGGAGGAGGGTCATTTATTTGCAATATGCTAATCACAAATCATTGTTATCTGTTCATTGAAGGCAGCCCCCCGGGGGCCGGCTAGCCTTCTGACGAGGGGGTAGTCGAGGGGGTAGTCGTCAGCGTGTGGTGTTTGGCAATAATCTGGCAGCCATAATCGAGGGGTCTTGGGGGCAGCTGTTTCTGCAGCCTGCCTGGTTCCAGAGGCCAGGCCATCCACGGTTTGGTGACAGCTTGGTTGTTGGAACTGGGGTCTCGTGGATGGTGGGTGATGGCCTGGGATATTCGTCCTAAGCATGACCTTGCAACCACAGACCACAGCCCCCCGGTGATTCTCATTCAGGGTCCAGCCTCTGACCGCTCACTGCTCCCTCAACCCACTCGTAAATCCTGTAGTCTTGCCGTTTTCCTGAATGGCCTGACTTCCTCCCACCCCTGGTCTCTGCACACACACGGTTCCTCTTCTCTCGAGGGTTCTTCCTGCCCTTCCCCTGTGGAGGGGCTTCCTTTAATTGCCCTGCCTGGCTGGGATAGGGGTCAGCATGGTAGAATATGCCTCTTTTCCTCTCCTGCTTCATGATTTGGCCTGGCTGTGGTGTCTCTGGGCTGAAGACTTCCTCACCCTCAGGGCTGGCCATGGTACCACCTGTCTGTCCCCATCACATCCTCTCTCTCTCTCTTTTATTTATTTACTTTTTGAGACAGAGGCTTGCTTTCTGCCCAGGCTGGGGCACAGTGGTGTGAACACAGCTCACTGCAGCCTCGAACTCCTGGGTTCAAGCCACTCTCCTGCCTCAGCCTTCTGAGTAGCTGGGACCACGGGCAAGCGCCACCACACCTTAGCTAATTTTTTATTATTTGTAGAGACAGGGTCTTGCTGTGTTGCCCAGGCTGGTCTCAAACTCCTGGGCGTAAGCAGTCCTCCCACCTTGGCCTCCCAAAGTGCTGGGATAACGGGTGAGCCGTCGCGCCCAGCCAACACCTTTCCTTCCTTTGTCCCAACATTGATCTCACTTAGATGTTTACATCTCTCTCCCCGATTGCACTAGGGACAGGTAGGGATAGAGGCTCGCTTCTCAAATACTTGTTAAATGGCTACATGTTTGAGGGAATAAATGAATGAATGAATGAATGAAATCCTGCTCTTGAGCCTTGACCCAAATGGCTAAGCAGACTCTCTCCTGTTTTTCTGAAATGCTCATATCTGGGGCAAGTTCCCCACCCTGGTAGGAGTTCCAAGGTCTCTCTGTGAACTTCCTGGGGTCCCCTCTCTCCCCACGACCCCAGCCTGTGTCTTCTCCTGACCTTAACCTGGGGTCTCTGCCCCGCACTGTCGTCCTCTCTCCGTCTCTCAGTTCTCTGACTCTCACTGTTTGTAAGTATCTCTGTCTCAGATGTGTGGTGGCCAGAGTCATAGCCAGGTTCTTTGGTTCTTTGGGACAAGCCAGGGGTGTGTGCCCAGCTCCATGGGGCCTGCAGAGGCTTTAAGGGACACCCATGGAACAAGATGTGCAGGGCCAATTTATAAACAGAAGAGCAGACTAGGAACAGGGCTTGGGACCCATGCTGAGTTTAGTCTTGTCTTTTTTTCTGGAGAGGGAGTTTCGCTCTGTTGCCCAGACTGGCGTGCAGTGGCGCCATCTCGGCTCACTGCAACCTCCGCCTCCCAGGTTCAAGAGATTCTCCTGCTTCAAGTAGCTGGGATTACAGGCGTGCTCCACCACGCCTGACGAGTTTTTGTATTTGTAGTAGAGATGGGGTTTCATCATGTTGGCCAGGCTGGCCTAGAACTCCTGACCTCAAGTGATCTGCCCGCCTCTGCCTCCCAAAGTGCTGGGATTGCAGGTATGAGCTGCTGCACCTGGCCCTGAGTTTAGTTTTGATTGAGGGGCTTCCAGGAGAATATGGGGCCTCTAGTACAGGGACCCTTAGCATGACTAGAAGGGAATTTCCCAAAGGAATTCATAGCAGAGGTGGAGTGGTGGGAAGGATGGTTTTCTGGGGGAAAAGGGACGCATGAACCTGCCCAGAAGAGTTTGATGTGACAGGTGGCTGCTGGGGAGGGGGTGACAGTCTCCAAGGTGCAGGTGCTGGGGGCTCCAGGCAGGGCCTCTTGGA